GTGGATTCACCCAATTATCTACCTCCAATTGAGAAGCTATCGAATGAAAATATAAGAAAGTTTCAAGGTAGGTCGTATGTTTTACGTAGTGATATCATTTACTCAGAGTCTCAATTTCAGGAACTCGAATCTGCATACCATGACGTATGTGCAGAGCTCGATGAAACGAGGCTGGGTATGTCAACAGCGTTATATTTATCACTGGATATTAACAGCCCACTGAAGTGATCGATTTTATTAGAATTGATACCTTTGAGTAAGAAGATCAAGCTGATGGCCGGCGTATTGTACGCAAAGCAAAGGAAGGAGAATCAGGGACTTATTTTAAATCCCGATGAATTTCAGGTTATGTTGGGAAATGCTGAACCATCTTTATCAAATTTTTTTGACCAGCTTTATGTTGGAACTAACCCACATAACAAAAACCATATGACTAATACAAGAAACAGACAACGTTTAGTTTTATTGTGTTATTTCTTAGCAGGATTGAATAATAAGTTTATTAACGGGGTTAAAGCAGAGATTGGGTATCTCTTAGACAGTGCAGGTGTATCATCTACAGCACTTGAGACGATTGCAGGAGCAGGCATCAGTATTAGGCGTGAAACAGTGGCAAGATATAAAAAGAAACAGGAAGCGAATCACATTGACACAGCTGGAATGTTCGGATCAGAACATGTAAGTATGAAATTCATAAGCGAAATTATATATTCTATTACTCGTGCTGATGTATTTGATATTAACATCAATGATAGATGAATGATTTAATGGTGCTTAATGTGGATGACTACCATAATATCCACTCGAAAAGACGGGCTGATAACACAACGATCTCTGAAGTTCATCATTTCCGCACTATCCTGTTGAAAGCGGCGCCTGGGATTCCAGCTCTTCCGTTTATGAACTTGCATACGGGTAAAAATATTATTAATCCAAATGGTATTGATTCTGATATTATAATCGAAAAAGTACAGCATTCAATATTTCCTCATCTTTGGCTAACGTATAATGAGCGTAAGTTAGCATTTGCTAGAGAATTACCCGAAGCGTCTAACCACGATGAGCGTATGGAGATGCTTTTAATTCATAGTTATGATAACAGACTAATACAACGACGAGCAGATAGAAGTATGAACAATACTAAACTTGTAAATTTAGTAGAAGGAAGCTTACGTTCTACTGAAGATTACATAAAAGCGCTGAAGAATGTTTTAGACGTCCCAGAGTTGAAGTCATATCTCGAACAATACATACTTGCAGCACCAATGGATTATCCTGGACAGTTCTATGTGCGATGTGCCATTTCATCTTGTCTCAATTCTGAAAATAGGTTTGAACTCTCACCTTTATTACTTCATATTGTCCCAATGATTGGTCCGTTGCATGTTTCTTTAAATGCCCGTGAAACGGTTTTTATGTATAATTACGCTTTTTTTAACAAACTGTATTGTGAGGTATATATGAAGAAGAGACCATTACCAAAGAAGCCTAAACCCTATAGGATCA